TAAAACATTGTATTTTAAATCGTTTGCCATCCTTAGGTACAGTATAGTGCTCCGCAAAATCAAATTCAAAAATTTGAATATTTGCGTTTGATTTGATATTTGATCTTCAAATTTTTTGATTTGATTTGATTTGATATTTGATCTTTAAATTTTTTAATCTTTCAAATTTTTAATCTCTTTTTGAAGGGGAGATTAAAATTTTGAAAATTTGAAAATAATTAAAAATTTATTTATAAAATCGAGCACTAAGCAAGTATCTACACAGAATAAAAGCTATAAGTGAGGAACTCCATTACAGTATAATATAAACCTCTATTTATAAATGAGGGATCACTCAGAAAGAACCTAAAGAATTAGTGATCGTACCAGGTTAACTTTTTACACAACCTTTAATAAAATCTAATAAACGGTTTTATATCCTATTGAAGTAAGAGGATAACGGTTATATCGGATATAATCTAAGATTAGTTGATATCGATATTGATTATTGATAACAAATTTATTGTACGAAATGCGGATTTCAAATTTCGGCCAATCAGAGTAACTGTAAAAAAAAAAAAAAAAAAAAAAAAAAAAAGATACGGTAGTTGCCAGGGTTCAGGTTTTTTTTGACTAAAATGACTATTTTTTTAGCCATTGGATTATTCAATGAAAGAACAACCTTAATTTAGTCGTGACCAAATGCGTGATATGTGAAAATCTAATCTTACAATAATACAAGGCAAAATTTTAATTAATTAAAAGATAAACTAAGTGAGTTATTATTATTTCGTCAAATAAAACATGGAGCAACCCATCTTTATTTTTCATAGATACTTTAATTTGCTAAATTTTTATCGTTACTGTCATATCATATTCTAAAGTATATTAATAATTACGATAAAAGCATCTTCCCCTCACGCCATCCCCCACAAACAACCCAACACGTAATGTTTACGACACGAACTACTTTTACACGATATATTTGCCAATCAAACTATTAAAATGTGAGTCAAATAAATAATCCGAACTAACTATAGATGGAAATAAGGCGATAGTCAAATTAGGAAATATTAATTATAAAAAAAATAAAAAAAAGCGGATGATCTTGAAATTTATTTTTATTAAGGTTAGGTTAGGATTTAGGGCTAACGTTAATGTGGATTTTAGTCGTATTATGGGGTGGACTCTAAATTTCATCCCTAAAAATTTTGCAAAGAATTTTTTTTTATTTTTTTTTATTTTTTTTTTTTAGTGTTCAAAAGTAAAATTCGTTTTGTGTTTAACTTATTATAGTTTAAATTATAGCACATTTTTTTGGTAACGTAACAGGTAAGACATGATGTTAAAAAAGTCCGTCCAACTAGTTCTTTGTGGACTATCCTCAACATAGCGATAGGATATTAATGTGTGGGACGTAATAGGAACGTGTGCATTTGACAAAATATATCATTAAGTTGTTGTACCTGCCAACGAGAGATTCGTAAGTGTACACTATATATGAACACTATCAAAAAGGCTTGGGTAAAAATTGCTGCTATATCGATGCCACGAGTAATTTAATAATATACGAGTAGAGATTTTCTCAACGGGTCCAATCATATAGGATAACTTTCTTCTGATTGATCAATCACTTACAATTGTATTTATACAGTTTAACATTTCACAAATAAAAAATAAACCCGTCTCTATCTTCGAAGAAACGCCAACAGTCGTTATGCAAAATAATACCAAATAATCCCGCACCTAGAGGTACCTTACCTAGAAGGTGAAATTTTCTACGTATATTGTAACTATAGAATTATATGTAATTACTAAATCGTTAAACATAGCTGAGTTATTTAAAGAAAACTAATAGTACATGCGTTTCTTTTAAAAATAGATAAACGATTTCTAAGCTATACTTTATATACGTATATGTATAGAGATTACTACAAGGCTTAACGATAATGAGCTCTGTATATAATAAACTATAGATCCTTAAATCTTAGATTAGTTTGACACAAAAGGTGTATATAAACCTTTTTTTCTTTTTTCTTTATTCTTTTGTTAGTGATAGAGAATTAAATATATGAATTATAATAAGTTTGATTGGTTGATTGTCACATGTTGTACAAATAGCCAAGAAAGTTTATCTAGTACTAGAGGTCTTATCCAGTCAAAAAATTTGTATTCGAATATTTATTTGTTTAATATTTTTAATATTCGAATATTCATTGAAAAATTTTGAATGAATATTCGAATATTCACTGAATATTCATTGAATATTGTATATAATATAAAATAATTTTATACTTTATTATGATTAAGTAGCTAGCTAATAGCTAATAGATAAAATTAGAAAAGTTTAATTCAATTTTAATTTTTTAAACATATGCAAAAATATAACCTATTTTAACTAATTATTAAAATAATTTTATTTTTTAAATTTATTCAAAAACAATTTATTTTAATACTAATTATTAAAAAAAATAAATAGTTTAAAAAAATGCTTTAAGTTTATATTTTAATTTGTAAAAATTCTATATCAATTAATAAATTTAATAATTTAATTAATATAAGATAAAAATAAGTTAAATATATTAGTGAATATTCGGGAACCAGTCAAAATTCCAACAAACAAAATCTTGACAAAGTCAAAATCCCAACAGATTAGCTCGCATTAGAGTTAGAGTTAGCATAGTATTGATTAATTTTATTAGGATTTTTGTTTGTCGGGATTTTGTTTGTTGAGATTTTGACCCAAACCTGAATATTCATAGATAAATTGATTATTAAATATTCTTTATATTTATAAACTAATTTAATACAAATAGAGCAAATATATTAATTCTAGTTAACTAAATAATTTCTAATTATATATATATTCACTGAATATTCAATGAATTATTTGGTGGATAAATTAAAATATTCGAATATTCAATTTAGTAAAAAATTATCTATTCGAATATTCAAATAGTGAATATTCGAATATACTATTCATCGGATCAGACCTCTATCCAGTACATGCAGTAACTATGTATTTTTGATTTTATTGGCTAATTTGACGTTAATTATCACGTGTCCGGAAAATGTCCCCGATGCATTTAGCTAAGTATATGTCGTACGTAGTAAATTAGTTCTAATTTTGTATTACTTTTCTAGAAAGTTCAAGTTCAATTCTTAAATATTATAATTTTATTTTAAACTGCTGGTTGTTGAAGCCTTTAAAAATAACTAAAATATACTCCTATAGTATTAAAAAAAAAAAAATGATAGCAAATGTGAAGCAAATATAAAGTTTTTAGTATTATTCCTTTACATTGTTTAAAGTTTACATTATGACCTACTTTATTTCAAATTACACTATTGTGTAAGAGAAAAAAAAAAAAATATTATTATAGTAAATTTGCAATAGGATCTATTTTGTACAGGTACACGTTGATTTATTATAAGCACAAATGCGTCATATATTTTTTCTGTGAATCATATACGTATTTATTCAGGGAATCTCCGCAAAAACACATTACTATAAAGAGAACGATTAATTTGTTAAAAATTTTTGGGGGGTTATTTATTAGAGTGACGTATTACAAGTTTAAGTCCAACCAGGGTTTAAATTCATAATTAAAAAATATTATATCTAGGTGTTAACTTTGTAATTAAATTATTATTAATCAAAATATATAATTTTGAGTACACTTCGGATGCTGTTAACGATGTGTAATTGGACGCAACATTTTGAGTTTCCAATTGAGTTTTTTATATCATTAAAATATATGCTTCTATTATAATGTCTGCATTACTTCTTGAGAAAAAAAAAGAAAGTATATTTACACAAACCGGTTTAAACCAATTATTGGACATAAAATTCTTTGGAATTCAAAACCTATTTTAGAACTTGAAAATTTTTAATTACTCAAAATTTTTTAAAGTCGTAACCGAGGTCTGCATGAAATGATAATTTGTGGGGTTATGTTTTGTTGGAGTGGGGTGAGGTGACAATATCTTCATATAAATTTGGAAAATAGGGGATTACTTAGATTACCAGTATGCCGGCCGACCACATAATATAAGGAAATTAATATGAGAAAAAATTTATTGATCAACACAAATATAGAATACATTATCTAAATATGTATGTTTTACAAAGTCATTGAAACAACTTTTTTGGGATTATTATTTAAAAATAAATTGTTAGAAGCTGAGTTTCAATAGCGGCATTTAAAATATGAAGCTCATTGTTCTTACTGTACAAGAATGAAACATAAAATAACATTTGATAATTGGTTCGATTTAAGCATGCATTAAATATGTATTAACATATCCTTTCTATTAGACTAAAGAATTTAACTGGAGTACTTTACGTTATTAGCAAGTATATATTTGTGTTTATTAGCAAATTTGTCAAAAAAACTACACAATCTATAAATAATTGGATCACAGAATATATTACCGTTCTCGATACGTCGTTGCACAAATAGTGCGCCACTTACTCTAAATGTTCATAAACACTATGATATAATTTTACAAATTTGGCGTAATCTTCATTGGTAGTTTATATATAAATAAGGTGATCGAAGGTCCAGAGTAAATTAAATAATTTCAAAGATTTTTATCGAAAAAATAAATTTTTATCGAATAATAAATAATTAAATAATAATTATATAAAAAAAAGATTTATAACAAAATGCCTTCACCTTCGTTCAAAATAATTGTTGAGCAAGATACTATCACAATGCACGGAACACCTCAAGAATGTGCGGGTAATGTCTTGAGAGGCCAATTAGTCTTGGAAGTTAGTGAACCAACAAAAATAAAATCAATTAAATTGTCTTTTCAAGGAAAGTCAAAAATTACGTGGCCTGGAGGTAATTATCACTGAATTTATTATTTTCTATATTATTCTATATTATATACTTGATTGTATATTAACTTGTCATTTATTTATTAGATTCAACTACGCGAGTTCAAAATGAAGAAAAAGTTCTGTTCGAACACGACTGGGTATTCCTTCATCCAAAAAAGTATCACATTCTCGAACCTGGTAATTATCAATGGGGTTTTGAACTTATTTTACCTGGTTCTTTACCTGAAACAGTTGAAGGCTGTGAACATGGTTCCATCCAATACAGACTGAAAGCTGTCGCTGAACGACATTCTTTTGCTTTAAATTTGAGCACTCAAAAGAAAATAACACTTCATCGCTGTTCATTCTTAAACACTGAAGATGCATTGGATACTGTAGTGGCAAATACTTGGGCGAATAGAGTTATTTACGATATTTCTGTTGATTTGAAAACATTTACATTAGGTGACGAAATCTCACTTTCAGTCAATCTTGAGCTTTTAGGCCGAGATTTAAGAATTCATGAATATAAATGCGCATTCAATGAATGTGTTACCTACACAGTTGGATCCAATAAAAGATCCTCGGCAAAAACTCTTAAAAGTGTTCGAGGTGTTGATTTTCACCGAGATGGTGGAATATGGTCAGATTCATTAAAACTAAGAATTCCTAATACTTGTCTCTATGATTCAAACAATCATATTATTCAAATATCTCATCAATTAAAATTAAGTATAATTTTTATAACCGATGATAACCGCTTTATTGAACTACGGGCTACATTACCAGTCACAGTTACATTGAATACTGATGATATGGAATTACCTCCTTATCGAGAATATATACCTTATAAGACTTATTCATGTGATATCTATGATAACTTGGAAAATATCAACTTTTCATTACCTTCTTATGATAGTGTTATTTCTAATACACCTGCTTCTAGCATGGATTTATCAGCACCTCCAATATACGTTATGTAAGAACATTAAATTCTATGAACATTTATTAGATATCATTATTCATATAAACATTTTATAATAGACATTTATTTACATAATCTTAAATATTTTATTAAATAGCAATATTATAGTTTTCAAAATTTAAAGCATTTAGATATATTTTCTTTCAAATCATAGACTGTTTATCTCTTTTTAGTTTAACAAAAAAAATTAAATGTATAATATTGGTCGAAATTTGCATAAACATATTTGTATATTCATTTTATATTTAGTAATAAAATAAAAAATATTTATGTATAAAAAAAGTATATATAATAATATAACTTATAATCTAAAAAACACTAAAATATTTAATGACCAATCTCATGCTTCAATCTGAACAAATTATTCGTTCGTTCAAGTTCACTCTAATTACAAATTTTTTGTTTAATATGTATCACAAAAATTTTTTTATAGACTAATTTTCTCACGCGTGAATAAAATTCTTGTTACACCGATTGAATTGATAATTAACTGATAAAGAATTGATAATGTATTGATAATATTGATAAGATAAAACGCAAGATAATCAAATGATAATTTTAATGTAATATTGCGAATTGTTTTTTGCAGTTCGTTTTTTGGCGTTTTCTCCCAAATTTAGAAACAAAATATGTGGGGTGAAACAAATAATGCGGGGTAAATAGTACCGATGGGAAAATCTTTATATTATGTACGACTTTGAAAGATTATCTGTGAACATAAAGTTTACCATTTGTGAAATGATTTTACTGATTTGAGTATTAATACGTAATTGATGTGAAAAAAAAATTGTATAACTCCAAATACAGTTAATTATAAATATTACAAAATGGCTTTCTCCACATCAGATTTTACCAATTGTAGTTGTAGATGTTCTCCGATTAATCTGATAAATAATAGTGACGCATTTTATAGATATAACCTGATGCAACTAACATCCAACTTGTCTCTTTAAAGTAATTAGGCTGATTTTGTAACATGAAAATTTCCAGGCTTTTCATTCATACAATAAAACAAAATTCATTTGTAAGCCATGGAATTTAATAATTTTCCTTTCTAACAAAATCTTTTTAGTAATCCCGAATGATTAATAAGCTATTTCGTTTTCACATAACGCCACAATTATTCCCAATACAAAGATTCATTATTTTAAAAGTTTTTTTTATTAATTACAAATAATTTAATTGCAAGGTCTAAGTGGTCCAATTGACAACACTAACTATAATTGTTAACATGTTAATGTAAAATGCTGTTATGTATTAATTAATTCCCATGTTATTATACAATATACAACTCATTCTCACTATAATGAAGTTGCTTATAAAAAATTTCTTCACTTATAACTTATATCGAGAGAATACTATATATATTATACAGTATATACTGAGTTAATGCATTTTAAAAAAATTCATTACGAGTCTTTGGCATGCATCATGGGGCATATTTAGCGGGCATACTCTTGGTCATATAAAATACTGTATTTCTAGAAATTAGTACACCAAAAATTTTTTGGTGGCATGCTTAATAGGTATGCCCTTAAATCAGAGGTATACTGTACGTGCCCCCACCTTTGGATGTGACATTTTATCATTCGTCAATGTGTGGCGTGGTCAAACAATTGATATCGAACTAATATTAGGCACTGTACTAACTAAAAATCAATATACTGTAAATTTCATGTACAGTTTAAGGCCATACAAACTTAATAAATCAGTTTTCATAACATAAAATTTTCAAAAGTGACCCGGCAACCTGGTTTTTAATTTTATTTTCAAAAAATTTTAAATATAAAAAAATATAAAATTTTTTATAGATATTTTTAAAAAAACTCACTCGGGTAGAAAGTATACTTGAAATTTTTTTTTAGAGTTTTGTAAATTTTGATCTGGCTGGGTTATGAAAACTAATTTTTTTTTTTTTCCTTTGACAGTCGCGCTTGCTTTATTTATGAAGTTGTGAAGTTACAGTTAGATAGCTAGTCTAA